ATTAGATTGCCATTCTCTAACTAGGTGTGGTGCTACACGCTAGTTAACTGAAGAGAGCCCAAAAAGTTATTTGACGAATGGATATGTACTTGTAGTCTGTAATTAATGTCAATTTAAACTGTTTTGCTCAGTGCAGAATTCAACCTGTGTGACTTCATTGTGTTAATCACTTTAGGATTATGACACAATAGCAGCATAGTAATGAAGTAAAAATAAAGGGAAAAGTTCCCCTTGCGTGATACTCAACTTTCATAAATAAGATAGACAAAGCAAATTGTGTGTTGGCTTCCCGCATGTACAAAATAGTGTCAACAATCCAGAGGGCCGCTGACTCAATCGATGAGCTCATCGTAAACAGAGAGGGGCGGGAACTTTGGGAGAAGTGGAAGCGTTATCTGGAAATCAGCCTGGAGTTGTAGTTAAAGGAGACATACTATGCCACGTTTTTAAACATTTAAAACACTTCACTTACTAAAATCTCTCTGGAATTCTTCCATTGAAATACACAAAGGAATGACAGGACACTTGTCACTCACATGAGTTGAAATTACAGTACTCTGATTTTGGCCTGCAGTTCTGTCTAATGAAAATAACATACCTGTCAACTTTTCGGAGCGCCAATCTGTATAAACTACCAAAAAAATCCTTATAAAGAGCAAAAAATCCTTATAACATACCAAACAGTGGCGGACCCTGAGGGCCAGCAAGGCCTTCTCTGCTGGCCTAAACATTCTCAGAAAAGTAAATTTACTTTTCTGAGAATAACATAAATTTGTTATTTTATTTTCATAAATATGTTAACAAAATTATTCTCTGTATTCTTTACGTCATATTATTTCCAATTAGTTGAGTGGCTTTCAATGTTATTTTAAATAACATTGAACGCCACTCGAAAAATAACTTATTTATTATGGTAGAGTTTTTAACCAATCATATTTCATCTAGCTTGTGTTGCCAGGTTAATTAAACTTGCTCAGGGCCTTCAGATTAAACAGAGCAGGCCCCTGTGCGCTGTAAATGAACGATGAACGGGCACTGTCAGGTTTCAAGAGCCAATCAGATCACGCTCGTGATCTGTATCCTGTATCCTGACTTGTTCTCGTCTGCCTACCAGGGCTAGCTAGAGGGCCTTACGTCGAGACTGGCCGTGCGCGTTCGGTGATTGGATTAGCGCCTTTTCTGTTTCCTGAGAAATGTATCCTGATTTGTTCAATAAAGATTTAAAAAAAAAAAAAAAAAAGATTGGATTGCTCTGCTAGAGCTGTCACTCGCATTTTAACTCAAAATGGCCAAAGGAGAAGACCTTCATCTGGCTGCAGAACTACTTTCCACACAATTTGCATGACGAGCCTTCCACGAAAAGCTGGAAATTGTGCAAAGAGGTCGCCCAACTCCTCCGCTAGTTAGCCTGTCCCAGCAAGGAAAAGGGTTTGT